GCCCTACTAATTAAAGGAGTCCATTATCAGTCGATCATTATACACCATTCGACAGCCCTTTTCAAGAGCTACATGTCTGACGGTTCAAATTTGAAAAAGCTCATTTTCGACTTTTTGGCCAAATGTCCGCTTGAATGCCCACTGTGTGACGCCGACTCAACGCCGTTGAGCGAATTGCAGATCGTGAACGTTATACTTCCTGTTATAATGTTTGCATGGCAGTATGATATGAGTTCAGAAAATCACTAAACAAAACAAGTAATTTTTGTGCTCTTCGTAAGTAAGGAAGGATAAATATTCAAAATGTATGACTGACCTGCCGAAGAAAGAACAGTTTAGAACTCTGACTTGAAATGGAATTGCAAATAATGATATAACGGGCCAATTTTACAGATAAAGCAACTAGCGACAACGATACTGTATGAGTTAAAAGTGGATTTGTCAAGGTTTATATTTATTATCTGTAGAGCTCCATTATCTCAATTACAAGTAATACTGGTTTCCTGAGTTCAAATTAAGGTCAGACTTAGACTTTTTGATTGGTTTTCTTACCATCAATGATAAATTAGTCAATCCAAGTTTTAATAAAAACGCCACGCTGGTCTTTGCTGATCCTTTTTCGACGTATATCAGTGTCATGTACTCTGCATGGAAATTCAATTATATAAACTTTATCTTTTTGTTTACTGAACTAATGAACTATATGTTTAATAAAACTTTATAGATTGTATTCGTTCAATACTTTTCTCTCCTGATAGTTCATTTTTCTAAACTTATCACTAAATGGCAAACCAAATTTGGACTTGGAGTGAGGCTGACGGTGGATATTATCAAAATATATGTGACACTTACACACTGTAACTAAAAAATAATAACTACTGAGAGTTATCTTCATTAACTATGTTTAATCTTTCATTTAGTTATTTATTATCAGACTGTTTCGTTATTCAACCAATGGTACGTGATGCGAAAGAATTTTTAGTTATTGATCGAATACATGAAGATATTCAAGTTTTAAGTATGTATTTAGTTTGTATTTCACCCAATATTATCTTCAATTACATTAAATAGATAGTTTCTAATGCATGAGTTTCCGTACCGATTTTCAGATGTTAAAATCAATTAAACTAAGATGGTAATAATAGACAATTTCTAGATGTTGTATATGTGAGATTACAGGAATATTTTTGTCCTGTAGACAGTTTTATCTATGAAGTTAATGTTTCGTTTTATTTATTATGTGCGAGAGAATAGAAAATAAAAACTCAAGAAATCTTCGATATGCTTTTTAGTTCGACTGGAACTCATTATTAACTCTTTTTTTCTCTTTCTTAAAGATAGCATGCCAAACGTTGATGGAGCTTCCAGACGACAAATTCATGGCATTGTTGGCATTATCAACTTAATAGCTGGTTTGTTTGATGTATGGCTCGTGATCTATTTTATTGAAATTATCGTTGTTTTTAGGCCCTTATCTAATTGTCATAACGTCAAAGTCGCGTGTGGGCGATATTAATGGCCAGACGATTTATAAAATGCAAACAACTGACATCATCCCATATGCTAGAAATATGTCGCATTTAAATGAAAATCAAGTGAGTAAATTATGCGATCCAGAGATACAAATGTACTACTGTCATTCTAAATACAGTTTTGCAGAGTCTATCAGGCTGGAGCAATGCCTTTCATTTCTATAATCATTTGAAATTTGTTTCTGTTCTTCTGTTGTAGTTAAAATACAATACTAAATATTTGTCGATGCTTGAAGTTGTTTTAAGAACCGATGCATTTTATTTTTCTTACTCATACGATATTACTCATACATTTCAACGCTTACAAACATCGGCACCAGATTTTTTTCAGACACCATTTATTGAGAGAGTAAGTACAAAGTAAGATTTTTTTGAATTACGTATAAACCTCAAAAATATGTTTTATTTCTTCGTTAAGGCCGATCAACGATTTGTGTGGAATCGATTTTTATCATCAAAATTAACAACGAATCGAACATTTGCACGTTTTACATTACCAATTATTCATGGATGTATCCTTTTTTTTATGAGTCATTGAGGCCTAGGCTGTAATGAAAAATTTTTTGTAGTCCTCCAATGAACTATGTATAAACCTTAACAGAAATTTTACAGTTGTTGCTATAAATACATTTACTATCAATAATCACTCAGTTGTTTATGCTGTTATATCTAGAAGAAGTATTTACCGGGCTGGAACAAGGTAGATAAGCATTTCTTTTTCCTTAAGACTGCAAACATGTTTTGAAAATAACCATTTTTCTTTGTTGTTAGGTTATTCATTCGTGGAATAGATGAAGAAGGACGTGTGGCAAATTTTGTTGAAACAGAACAAATCTTACAATTAGCTGATGTTGCTTGTTCCTACGTTCAGGTACTGATTTTCTCACATATGAAATATTTGTTTATCTACCTATATCTTTTCTCTTTAGACACGTGGATCTGTGCCATGTTATTGGACACAACTGCCAGATCTCCGGTATAAACCAAAAGTAACCGTTCTTCCACATAATAATCATGTAAGAAGCGAAAATCGGAGATTATAAAATAGAATTATTATTCCCTTAGATTACTGCAAGGTGCCTTTACGTTACAGTTAGTGGAAGGAACATCCATATGTTGGGGGTTTCATATAATGAGGGAAATGTCTACACTAATCTCTTCACATTAGTTGAATAATTGTAGTTCGAACAATTTAAACTGATTACTTCTGTACTTCATTCATTACTCTCGTTTTTTTAGATGGGAGCATTTCGACAACATTTTGAAGAACAAGAATATTATTATGGAAAACAATTTTTAATAAGTTTGGTACGCTGATATTAGTCATATTTTCTGAAATATTGATATTCATTGTTGGATTTTTTCAGACAAATCAACATGGAGCCGAAGGTCGTTTGAATAGTCAATATCGAGAATTATTCGAACATAGTCAAAATTCCTATTTGAAGTAATTGTTGCATTTGATGTTTGTTTATGTTTTTTTGTAAAGTTTTTCTTTTCTTTTTTAGATTTGAAGACTTTGATTTCCATAAAGAATGTGCGGGCATGCGTTATGATCGTTTATCAATATTATTAGCACGTGTTCTTCATGATCAAAATGATTTTAGGTGATGATGGATGTGTGAAACGAAAAAACTGTTTGTTTGTTTTAGTCTTTAACTTTAAATATTTATTCGTGTAGAATATCATTGACAGAATGTTTGCAATTGCACATAATGAAAAAATATTTTGAAAGTTTAAGAATACCTGTCAAAATTTTGTCCATTAATCTAGTCCTTTGTTTTAGTTTAGTTACTTTGCCGTTACGAAAGATGGTATAATGCAAAATCAACAAAGTGGAATATTTCGAACAAATTGTGTAGATTGTCTTGATAGAACGAATGTTGTTCAAAATTTATTTGCAAAAAGAATGTTAGAAATACAATTAAAAGTAATAAAGAAAATAATAATAAATTTTATTTGAAAAAAAGAAGATATAATTCACTTTTGTTTGTATTTAGAGATACAATGTTATAAATTATTCAGATACGATTGATGTGCATAAACAATTGAGCGATTCATTTAAAAATAGTAAACTATTCACTATTTCTATTTTTCTTTTAGAAATATATTTATGTGTCTGTTGTTTCTTTTTTATTAGTTTGGGCTGATAATGCCGATACAATTAGTATTCAGTATGCAGGCACTGGTGCATTGAAAACAGATTATACCAGGTAAAAAAATATAGAATACTTTATTGTTTACTGTATTTTAAAGATTATTGTCTTTTTAGAACGGGTCAGCGATCTACAATGGGTATGATGAAAGATGGCTGGAATTCTTGTATGCGTTATGTATTAAACAACTTTTATGATGGATTTCGTCAGGTAAACAAGTGAAAAAAAATGACTGAAGTATTTAGTCTAATAAGACTATTAGATTTTGATCTTATCTAATGAATAATTATAAATTATTACTTAAATAAATTTTCTGTAACTTCTCTTTTCAGGATGGAATTGATTTATTTATTGGAAATTATAAAGTATCACCGGATGAAGGACGAATAAATCCTGAAACGTGTCCAATTAGTAGGGAATTGAGTAAAAAATTTTTAGCTGTAAGTAAATGTCTGCAGTTTTTGAATTTGTTTTTCTTCATCTAATACTACGATCGATATTAACTGATAAAAATGGTGAAAGAGTGAGAAGCTAAATAGTCAGAAATAATAACTATGGTTTTGAAATCAATGCAAAGTAAATTGAAAACAGAAAGAATATCTATTTTTTCATTCTTCTTGACTACTCTCTAAAATAATCTGTAGCCTACAAAACAAATACCAGTTTTGGCATGTGCTCCTAAGAGAAACCGATAGTCGTATCGTACAGTTCTGCTTAACCGTTTCTCAGAATACGCCTGAACATTTTTTCTCTGGTACAGAATCTAAATCCATTTCTTCACAAGACAAAAAATGTTCAAGCATATTCTGCGAAACGGTTAAGCAGGACTGTACGATAGAGATGTGCAGCCGATCCGACCAGAAGGTTGGATACGGGTACGGATAGAGCAGTTACAGATACGCGTTCTATTTTTTTAAATTTACTCAGAAACCGGAAGGTTTTAGTGGAAAACCTACAAAATTTTAGTGAAAAACTACAAAACTACAGGAGTTTAGCTAAAATACATGAAGGCTTAAAAAAGAATTACTTGAGATCGTAATGATAATCTGACATCTTCAGTCGGAGAGCAAAAGTTTTTAGCTGGAAAACAAAAAGGAGAAAATTTTAGGCATAGGTTGGGTACGGATACAAAGTTGTCGGGTCGGATATGGGTACGGAAATGGTACCCGTGCATATCTCTACTGTACGATACGGTTTCTATTAGGAGCACATGTCAAAACCGATATTTGTTTTGTAAGCTACGGAGTTTGTTTTAGAGAGTCTGGGATTAGTTCAAAAAGTTTTGTTCATCAAATACGAAATCAACACACATTTTTCTGTTAACGCTGATTCTGTGAATGTTTGATGTGCAAGTATATTTTCACGAATGAGACTTGTTTTGTTTTATTTTAGTTACCAGTGACAATGTTTCTCGCATTTTCTATGTGTATTATTAATGTTCTTATACCAGCAGGTATTATTTTATCAATAAATATTTTTTCATTTTGATAGTGTAGTTATTATTCTTGTTCCATTTTTTAGCTTCATTTCGTGAACAAATGACCTATGTTCTATTTTGGGGTGCTGCAACTGTATCAACATTAGCAATAACGATATTTTGGGGACAAGAACTTGTTGATGCACCAAAATTATATAGCAAAGTTAAACGAGATTAGTTACATAAATGAACAGTTTAATTTATTTTCAAATAATTAATATACTGATTCGTGTGCTTTCTTTTTCACATCACCACATGTATATCGGTGTTTTTTTTTTGCTTTTTAATTCGATAACTTACTTTTTTAGACTACTCATATTTCCTGTATGTTGGTCTCTGTTGTACCTGAATAAATAGCATTCGTATCGTCGATTTTACTCAAAACAAAAATATTATATACTAAAAAGACATCTACACAAGACAATAGGCAATTTAAAAATATGATGAATTTACTTGTTTTTATAAACAAGTCTAATATCTTTTCATAAAACATTTGTAAGAAGTATGAAATCAAATTTGGGAAGTTAGTATAATGGCTAAAAAAATGTACATAAATGTTTGAAACATAGAGCCATTGTACCATTCCTATCTTACGAGTAAAAAATGAATAACTATTTTATTCGTAAATAACGGGTGGCGCATAAATAAACGCACTCCCGTATTTTGAATATAACTCCGCCGGCTTTTATCCTATCGATCCAAATCTTTTTCCAAAAGATTCCTTATTGAATTCTCTACAAAACCATGTCATAA